TGGGCTTCACAGACCGTGCGCGCGCGCACACACACACACACACACACACACACACACACACACACACACACACACACACACACACACACACACACACACATCAGAAGCACACAGTTGTATATGCATGCTGGCCAAGTTTTTATTCTTAAAATGCCAAAAAATAATCACATTAGTTGGTCTAATTTTGACAGCTAGCCACAGCGTAATCATGCCCTGTCCACCTTCCGTCAAACAAACTCTGTCTCTGCTTGTCAGTGCTTGTGTTTTTTTAATTCAAGCTGGCCATATCAGTGGTCACGTCAGTGTCTGCTTAAACAAATAAATAACTATGAAACTGGTATGATAAAAGTAGGCTATAAGTAAGAAATAAGCTCATGTGCTGTCTAAATATTAGTGCTGTCTCAATATTCTCTATTATGGGCCAAAAAACCTGGATCCTACACTTCCCACTATGCACCTTAATATCATCTTCCTGATGGCATCATGAAGGGTTGTCATGTTATGACTTTAAAAAGCTCCCTCTTGAACAGTATACAGCTGTTTTCACAGGCGTGAACAGTAATAAACTCAGTTCACCTTTAAACACTGCGACGTTTGAAGTTTGAGGCGGCGTGCTCTGCCGATGAACCAGAGGAGGCTGTTAATAAAAATAATTCAAGGTTAAATGGACACTAAATACCTGAAGTATTCTGCTTTCATAACTACACATTCAATGTTTTCTCTCTGAAGAAGAGTCATACTGCATGTTGTCCAGCCATTGGCTTCATAAATATTCAGCACCAGTCACATTAATGGTTTTAATTTATGGTGGGACGCAGCAGGGATGAAAGGCCAACAATTCTCATACGATGCTCTGACAGATGAATTCATATTTTACAGCAAAGCATTTTAACATCAGAAAAATGGATTATGTGATGAAATTGCAACACATTTATTTATCTGCCCTAAAAACATTAGAGTTGGGATGGTATCCAATTTTGTATGGGGGTGGTGGAACAGTGGATAAGCCATATGCATTTGGTGTAGGAGACCTGGGATCAATTCCTATTGCAACATCAGTGTGTCCCTGAACAAGACACTTAACCTCTTGCTCCAGAGGCCTGCGACCTCTGACATACTATAAAGGAATTATAAGTCGCTTTGGATAAAAGCATCAGCTGAATGAGTAAATGTCTCCAATCACCCTTACTCTCCTATTGATTATCTAACCAACTGTTTGTTGGACCAAGGTCTTTCAGCCCCTCTACATTTCACAACAGTTTTTGAAATGCGCTGCCTGACAGACAAGAGACAAACTGATGAAAATAAAACCTCCTTAGCAAATGTGACGAATCTACACTCAAATGCAGATATTCCCACTAGGTGATGCCATAAGGTGTAAGGAGGAGAAACCCTGAGTTCCCAAGTGCGGTGCAGTCCTTGACATGAAATCTGGGGTCATTTTGTGTTTGAAATTTAATAACTGCCGACTCAACCGGGTGACATGAACGCAACAGAACAAGGGATGTGACTCTGTGAGAGGGCTGTAAATGAGCGACGGCTGGGGAGCAAATTCCAAGAGGACAATGTCAAGACGATGCTATCTATCATTTTAATGGTGCTGGCGATTACAACTTTGCCCTCTGCCCATCCTTATTAAATCACGATGCCTTTGACGGTCACAGCTGGCAAGCTGTCTTACCATTATCCACGAGTTCTGATGAATCATGCAGAATCTGCACCCACCACGCCACCGTGTCACAGACAGGTCAGCTGATGACTAAATCAGTATCAGTATCAGCTATGCAGTATTACTCCGGCGTGATTCAACAGATTCTCACATTATGAGGGAAGCTGTGAAATAAGAGCTCACAGGGTTTTACGTTGGCAACACCCCAATGACCCTGTTTCACACAATTCACACAGACTTTTCTTTCCATTTATTTAAAGGTGCATCTTATATTAGGTGGAAATCTCAAGCAAGAAACTGCAACACTTCACATACTTAAGTTCTGTGTGTTTACTTACCATCATTTCAGTCTGAGTGCTGCTAGTCTAGGTATGCAGCTGCCTTTGTCACTTCCGCTTTAGACCAGCTAAATGTCAGTAAGAGGAAGGTCATCATTGTTTGTTAGATGTATCATTATGCTGAATGTCGATGAAACTGGCTGGCGTCATTCTGCTTGCCTGAAAGACTGCATAATTTCTGTCAACTTGTTTATTGTCTGTCCTATCATTAAAATTTTTTTTTTAGATGTGAAACACCTCATGGAGCCCCCCAAAAAATGACCCACACTCATTTATCACTCACTGTCCACCTATCTGCCTCCTGCTGGCCATCAGGAATCTTGACATTGCCTGCAGACGACACGCTGCTCCAGGTCCATTAACTCACCTCCTCTCAACGATGCTTTCTCTGTGGGGAGCTTCAGACACCTTGTTCCAGAATTCATGTGAAGCAAATTACCCTCTAGTGGAAATACAGCTGACATGTCTTTTTATTTCTCAAGAGACAGTAGCCGTGTTTCCATCAACATTTTGCTCCATTTTGAAGTGTCGCATTAGAAAAGGTTGATGGGCAAAATTAAAAAAAGAATCCTTAATTTCTCAAAAACGTTTTTACTCTGGGTTGAGGTGGTTTTTACCTTTGTCGAAATAGAGTTAATGCGCTAAATGGGACATGGAAACACTTTTGCCGAATAAGTTCTGACGTAGCGAACATGTAACTCATGTCTGATCAGCTGTTTTCGCTGTTGGCGTCTTGCCAGATATTCCCATGACTTGCGGAGGCATGGCTGGTACCAGTTTGCCAGCTTGAAACACATTCCCATACCTCTTGTTTATTACAGCCATGTGTAAAGTCAGCTACTGACGTAACTAAACTTGCTGTAGCCTGGTTTATTTGCTCCAAACATTTCAAAAGTCTGCTTAAAATTCACATGAGAGATGATGAGTTGGAAACATGGTGTGTACACCCACACACATGTTTTAAGTTATTCTGGATGAAGGTCTGTATGTGAAGAAGTGGACTTATTTACTGTGATGTCACCCAGTGGTTTGTGGACTACCGTTTTGAAGCCTCGAGTTTGGCATTTTGGCCGTCGCCATCTTGGTTTTTTGGAACCCGTCAGCGGACATGACCATATTTGGATGAGAGGGTGGAGCTAGCGAGATCTGTTAGCAAGTTGGGTCTATAATTCACATTAACTGTGATATTTCATGAGATGCTCATTTCGGCTAACAGGCTAAAAACAAAATGTACTTACGCAGGTCAAATGTACACAGTGTGCTGGAGACTTGTCAATCACAAAATAGTCACGCCCTAAAGCATACCCTGCTTTATCATCTATTTTCCTATAAATTGGACCATAATTTACTAAATGAACATCATGCTGTATTAAAGAAGACTTGAAACTAGTGATTGAGACCATAAACTCATTAGGAAAGTGTTTACTGAGGTAATAAATCAAGTGGGATGTAGGGTCATTTTGTCATTAAGTCCAATGCAATCAGACTATTTTTGCAACCACTGGAGTCGCCCCCTGCTGGCCATTCAAATTAATGCAGGTTTAAGGCACTTCCGTATTGGCTTCACTTTTCTTGTTTGACACTGAGGCGCCTACGCTCGCTTTACTTTCCCAAAGCATACTGGTTCAAAACATTGTGTTGAAGCCTTTTCCACATGATGGACAACGCCTGAAGCTACGTACGTCACTAAAACACCAGAAAGGATTTGACCGAGGGATCGAAAGGTAAGGTTGTTAGGGCAACTGTTGGCAGCTGCTTATGCAAATGCAAAACTTGTGAATGACACACAAACCGTGTAGTTATAATGTCAGGGATAAACTTATGGGTTGCGACTGTATACATTTCTTGCAGCACTTGAATGAGCAAAGACAAAAATGAACACAGGCTTTTAATGTCCAAATGAGGAGTTTGTGCATTAATGCATTATTAATTTCTGCCAACCACTAGATGTCACTGTGCCATGTCTGTCTTCAATGCTTCGAAACTTTCAATCTTTTTTCGGCACAATCAGGACAAAGCCTCAAAAGCTTCATGAGGGTTTGTACGCCCATCACTACACACAAACCCGGAAGTTGCCGCTTGTTCTGGACAGACGGAGAGTGAGGGAGATGTCAATCATGGACAGTAAATAGGTTTAATTAGGCAAAGTTAAATCACTTCTTTGTAAATATACCTTTTCAATAGAAATACTTGTTTAATTCACAAGCTAATGTCAATGAAGCGTACTGACTTCCTGCAGATATTTCACATTAAAAGTGTAAAAATAAAGGAAGTGTTGAGTTCGCATTAACCAATGGAAATAAAATAAAAGTGAGAAGAAGATGTGAATCTGGAGGTCTAATCAGGCAAAATAAGTGACAACACCTGTGTGAGTGTGCCGAGGGGGTAAAGAGCCTGGATATCTGTTGGTAACCTTGGTTATAAATGACCAAATAGAAAAAAGATTTTACTCTAAAATACCATCTTGGCAATAAAGCAACTATGCCTAAAAGCATGATAAACATTGGTATCATGTTACTTTTTAAGTAGCAGTGGGCTTTACATTCATGAAAATCATGCTAAAATTCCTTTATTTAATAGACGAGATGCTCTTCATTTGAGGAGGTTACAAAACAAGATATTAAGAATGTGCACTCTCTCCGGCATTAAGTGTACACTGTGGCCAAGTGTTGAAGTTAGGACCCACCTTAAAACATTTGGTTAAAACATTTAATTTTTGGGGACATAGATTTGTTTATCAAATACTGCCTGTGGTGAATGTACTGCCTGCTATTTCCTACAAAATGGATATGACATTTAGGAACCAAATGCTTCCACAGGAAAAAAAAAACACTTCTTACAAAGCCCTATAATACTGCGTTAGAACAGGAACAACAGTCCTTTGACAATTTCTGTCTTGATGTAAACATACTGTAGGTATACTACACACATACACAACCCGAAACCACTGTGTACACCCAGACTGACATCAGAGAAGAAGAGAGGGATATTGGTTTGGTTCTCATATCCTGTTTTATTGTTCAAATATGACAGAACAATATATACACAGTACAAACAACACACCCACAAAGTCAGTCATACACACAGACAAATGGAAAGACAAACAGAAAAGACACATTTGTACAGACGTTCGTTCTCACACACTCACGCAGAGACATGAACAGACTAACCATATAGGCCAACAGGACAACTTGTGTATTAAAGGGGATTTTAAGGAGATTAAGGATCCGGTGACAATAAAAGATCAAAACGAAAAACGTTCAAAGTCCACCTTAAGACAGAATTCACCTCGCTATTGACTTTTCAATGAGCCCACAGTGACAGGACTTAAAGTGGCTTTCGCAGGGATGAGAGCACATTTTCTAGCTCCCACCTTTTTCGCACTGGAGGGAAAGAAACCTCATATGGCTGAAAATCTGAGGTGAAAAACGGAGTCTCTATTTCTCTCGTGTCTACGTACACAAGCGTGAATTTGCCTTTTAATGGAAATAACATGAATTGTGTTTCACAGTGGACGACTTTGACATTTAACTCAAGGATCCGACTCTTTAAACACAGGCTGACACTTAAGAAAGAGACTTTGGCAAATCTCACAGCGAAATGAGCCATCATCGCCCACATTGGCTAAAAATTGTTACCTATGCATTGTCACCTTAAGCACTTACAGAAAAACAAGACTCACATCAATTTGTTTTAGTGACTTAAGGCCACTTTGAACAGAGGTGATTGGATTTAACAGCATGTATATATTTACCTGCTCTTTAAAAAGTGAAACCAAAGACAAACAAAAGCAAATTCATAATTTTGTGCTTTTTTCACCTTTGAATGCAGCGAGTGCTTCAAAATGAAATCACTTTTCATTTTTTTCACATGAAATTAATTTCTCTAACAGGGAAGCCGGCTATTCAGCTGCAGCAGCAAAGCATTATAAATAATAGTTAAAACGATAAAATAAGATAGTAAGTAAACAAATCTTTATCATAGCTGTTTCATCATCATCATCATCATCATCTTGCAGTCAATCGAAAACCTCATCTCCAAGAAGTCAAGTTTTTTAAAAATTCAGACAATCTCCCTTCACATTGACGCCCATGTGTTTCTGAACGAGCTTTGGGGGCAAACACAGGGCATGAAAGGCCAATTTCATTTTCAATAAAATAAAAGGATAAACACTGAAATTAAGAGTCTGAGAGATTTCAGCTGACAGCCCCAACTGTCTGAGTTAACCTCCCCAACATCAGCAGAGCTGCTCTTCCATGTACAGTACTACAAAATAAAAGCTCCTCTGATCAGCATAAATACTCACTGAGCTTCAAACAGCCAGGATTCTTTCTGTGTCATTGACCTGAACCCAAACAATTTATGAAAGGATTTGAAGGACAAAGACAAAATAAATCATGTGAGTGCTCTGGTGCTTCAAATTCATTTCACTGAAGAAAAAAAATGATGATGATAAAGTATGTGAACAAAGAACAAAAAATTTATATACGATCAGGCAGGAAGCTGAGTTATGAAATGAATGCCTGTGTCTAATAGCCAGTAAAATAGATTTCAATGAGACAAGCAATCAGGTCATTAATGGAGGTTTTGGCATTAATGAAGTAAAAATGCATTCTTGGCAACTTGTAGTGTGTTGTAGGAGTGTTATTGTATTTGTAGCATCCCGAATCCCGTATCTCCAATTCACCTGACATATTTTGTAAGGTTAGTGCTATTAGTGCGGATAAATGTGAGGGGATACCAGCCTGTATGCTCCCATAGTGTTTGTGGACACAACATAAGAGTCCAGATAAGCTTTCAAAAAGCTTGAAAAGTGAACTCAGAGCTTAGAACTGAATTTAGCTTAAATTGATGATTGTCTCAGTGCTGCCTAGGCAGGACACTTAATTAACAGTAATATGTAATACTTAAAGCGTAGCTGGGGCAAGATCACTTTCAAGATCACTTCTTTAAACAGCTTAGAATGAAGACAAAAACGAAGACATCGTAAAATGAAATGCTGGAAGTTCAAACAAGGTCCATTTCCTGAAACTGAATTAAATTGAAAGTGCTTTGAACCCAGACTCGATTCAAATTACAAAAAAACTTGCACAGACCCAGTCCAACATATGTTAGTACGTTTGAAGCCAGCTCTTTTCAAATATCCTCTTCAGCCACAAAGATGAACCAAGAGTAATCTTTTGTCAATGAAGAGAGAAACATTCGCTGAAAGAAAAGTAAAAAATTTCTTCACCTGAAACAATGAAGATAAGGAGAAAGAAAGTTTTTCTTCAAAGTTAAATTGAGGATACTGTGGGCCATTTCAAGTGCAGGTGATGGAAATAAAACAAACTGTCTACAAAACGTGATTTATGTTATTCTAAAAGGGCAGTTTGTGAGTGAAAGGTCAAAGTGAACCCTACATGTGTCTCTAAAGGAGTGCTTCACGTATGTTTTCTGGGTTTGACGTGCAAACACAGACAGCTGAGTAACGATATCGATATCCTTGCTGTTAGATGTAGGACACCAGAGTTAGTGAGTTAACTTACAGGCCCAGAACGCTGGCCTGTTGGGATGGTCACTGAGCACAGAACTCAAGCTACATTATCTATTTAACCAGCACTGTGTCAAGTTAGTGTCTAGCAATTGGGCAGGTAGCTAGCATGACTGGGCTAGCTGGGTTAGCTAGTCAGCAAACTGGGCTGGTTGGCTAGTTCAGGCTTTGTGCCCAGGGCTTACTGACTCTTCTCCTGGTTAGCCAGGCCTGATGTTTTCTGGGCAGCTGGTTTTTCAGTCCCTGTACCTCAGTCTGATGATGTCACTTCCTGTTGTCTGTGGTGGAGTTAGCGGTAGTGTCAATCTTTGTTGCAGTTGCCTCAGTGTTTCCAGGGGGCTGCACAGCAGTGGCATTAGGCCCACCACCATTTTGAAGTGTTTCCTGTTTGTACTGTTGCAAGGCGCGATTGACAGCATCCTCGACCAGTCGCCTGCTGACCCTCAGCAGCTCCGCCTCATCTGGCTCAGACCGGCGACGCCCACCTGTGTAGAACACGCACAACAAAAGTGTATTATATACATTCATATATTAATTTAGAAGAACACACTATCACTCACAAACATAACACGTGAGATGTGACCATGTCTTATTACAGTGACTTTTTTTTCCTTCACTTTTTCCAATTTTATGATTTTCTTTAATTTAAAACTGCATTGCCCCTTATTAGTTTATTTAAAAACAAACAAACAAAAAACAAAACCACTTGGTGAAGAGCAACAAGCTATAAACAAAACATTGATGTATTATCAACCCACTAAAGCTGATTAGTACAGTTACCTATGCATTCATTTGGGGTTGTCTGTCTGGCCACCTGATGACTGCAAGTCCAATTTTGACTCTCTTTGACCTTTGTATTTTTGACCTCCACTTACTCCTGGAGCAGTTTAGCTGCTAAACACTCCGCTATGTTCACCAGCTAGTCGCTAACTTTGTCTGTCTGCTGTTTGGTGCTCAGTACAATGGGTTTAACATAGCTTTTCTGCTTAAGCTGAGGAGAACGGTGAAAGTGAACCGAAACGGTGAAGTTGTGGGCTGTAAAACCAAAACACTGAGCTGAAGCTCTTTGAAGCAGAAGGAACCTGCAGAGTGGTGTGATAATTCTTTGTGGTTTCATCACTACAAGCAACACCTTTCACATTGCATACCGTTATCTTTTCCATTGATAATATAAAAATATTGATTAGTGCAGCTTTAAAAGAAATTAAGGAATATGCCCATAGAATAGTACTCTGGAAAATTATCTATATTAATATTCTACCTAAATACAGGGTTTGCTGCATTTTCATGTACTGTAACACTTGCTGTAAAAAATCCATTTTGAGTGCATGTTCAATGGAACACTAATTATACTAACATATACCATTATACTTAAAATACACATTTTTAATTTGAAACCCCTCATCAAACTGAGGATTTTCCACTGTGTTTATGAAGGACATATTTAAATTCCACAATGAATTTGACTGCAACTCTAAAGCTGATGAGACACCGGGCAACTTTTTGAGCAATGTTGCTGGGCAATGTTGCTGGTGGCAAGTCCGACTATGTTTTGAACGGAGAGCAGTGGTGCAGGGAGGGTGGCGGAGTGGTGGGGAAGGGGATTATGGTAGTAATCTTTACTCATTACCACTGATGGCAACATTGCCCAGCCCCATTGCTCTAAAAGTTGCTCCGTGTATCTTCAGCTTAAGCCTCCTGTTGTGTCTTTTCATATACTACCAGATCTGATTTCATTCTTATTCCAGCATATTCAACATGAAAACGTAAAGTATAATCTCATTAATCATAGACTGAATCCAGCGACAATATCAGATGTGACGACAATGGACACAATGTGACAGTCAAGAGTTTAAAATAACAGATGAGGCGAACAACCATCTCCCAGCTCTTCCACACATGCGATTTGAATTTAATCTACCTCCAGGAGCGACTGAAATGATAATTAATTTAACAAGCAAAGCTCTTTACCACACTGTCGGTTCTGCATTTGCTGCAGACAAAATGGCAGGCATAAAGCCAGATAGAAAACAGTAAGATGGACAGAACGTCAATAATTCATGTCAAAAAGACAGTTAGCCAGGCCGTAAGATGGACAGCCTGCACTGACCCATCCTGATAGAGAACCACTCAACCATGCAGTCTGTCTGACACACACACACACACACACACACACACACACACACACACACACACACACTAACCACTACAACATTTGATTATCAAAGCCAAGAGTAAAATCCCCAAGCTAAATCTTCTATATCACAAACTCTGCTGGGCTCATAGGTTAGCTCATAGTTAGGAAAGCAGAGTGGTGCTCTGTTATTCATTATAGAAAGAGGACATACAGTAGGAGTGAGACAGCGAAAAAGGTTTGCGATGTTGCTGTGGTCAAAATCACACCCATAAAGTTTATAGTTTTTTTCTATTCTGTAGAAGTTTTCTTACCAACATAATGCTACTGTTAATGTTTCCTTTTTATTAGTTATTATTTTTTTGAAATTCCTCCTTAAAAGGTGCTCTGTGGAGTTTTTAACCACTAGTAGCGCTAAGGAGCAATGTTTTTATGAGGTCCAGTTTTGTTTGTTTGTTTGTTTGTTTGTTTGTTTGTGCACATGCAAGAGCATCCTGCCAATGGACACAATGTGTTTTGGTGAGTCACACTGAATGTTTGTTTAAGAGAAAACTCCACAGGGCACCTTTAAGACACAGTACAAAGTAGACATGCAGTACAATGCAGACTACTGCTAGGTATGACTTTAATAAAGTGTACAAATGCTCAGCAGGAATCTCAGTCCATGACGACTTGCTATTAAAGAGTCAGTCACTGATGATTGATTGTCGGCACAGCCATGCTGTTAACATTTGATATATATCTCCCTTTAATCCTCCAGGTGTTCTGGTGGGTTGAGATCTATTATACAGGCCACTGGAATGAATTACAGTCACTGTCACGTGCGAGCCAGCTTGCTTGTCGACAGGTGCATTATGTTTCCATAGATGTGTTATTTATGCCAAATACCCAGCCCGCTACACAGCATGCCAAACAGAAACCAGGATTCGTCAGACACCATATGTACACTCATCCCTCATTCAATTATGGTCACCATGTGGTCACACCAGCTTCACTTTTTTATTTTATGCTCAATTGATTTGAACATAACATGGTGTTTTGTTGTACATCTACACTCATGGTTTATTGAGTTGTGCTTTCTGAGAAGCCCTGCTGATATTTGATTATCTGCAGCCTGCCTTTCAGTTTGAAGAGGTATTTTTGCCCTCAGGACTACAGCTGACTGAATTTATTTTAAATGAGCCTTTCTCAGTAGACACTAGATGTGGAACTTTCTAGGATGTTGGCTATTTCTAATTTAGCTGAGTGAACTGAAACTGCCGCTCCCGGCACTATCAAATAATTTCAGAGTCATTTAATTTATAGCCCCATTTACACCTGGTATTAACATGTATCTTCATACATTATCTGGATAATGACATCCAATCCACGGCCTGTGCATTTACATCTGGTCGTAAAAAAAGTCTGCTCACTCTGTAATTGGATGTCAATATGCAAATTGGTTAAGTGGGGCTTGCGCACTAAAACAAACATGGTCAAGCTGCACAGATTGCATCTACTCTTGCCTGAGATCCGATCTCAATGCGAGCCTGACCACCTCCAGATGTGGTCTGGCCGATTTGATCCCATTCATATCACAATGTGTTGTGCGTGCATGTACACCTGCACGCACACATGCAACATGTGTTTCCTCATCACAGTAGGATATCCATGATAATGCCAGGCGTGTATGGGATCTACTGTGTGACCCGACCATTCTAGGAGCCCTGTATGGGTTTTGCAGCAGTCTTTATGATCTTGCACGTAGTCACAAACCTCTGCAATTAAGGTTGGGCCAGTGACCCAGCATGTGCCTCTCACAATTCGATAAACATCGGCTGTTTAGACTGCATGCGGCTCATTATTATAGTATTATTAAAGCTGTAATCGCCTGGGGATCACACAGAACAATTTTCTTTAATCTAGGTTAACATGATTTTGATGTGGTTTTATCTGCTTTCCTGTGGGTGGCAACTAGAAGGTCCACTGTAGGAAATATTTAAAACAAACAGTAAGATGTATGCTGGTTAAATTGTGGTGTAGAGTATCGTTGTTCCATCTCTGTCAATGCTGTTATTTAAGCAGTATCACCAGACGATCAGCAGGGTACAGAAATATGCAGCTTTAGGCTATATGCTTTTTTTACGCTTGCTAGCTACAAGGCCATTACATTAACATGAATTCATTTAGCTAACGCTTTTATCCAAAGTCACTTACAATTTGACAGAGGTCGCACACAGGGATACATTGGGGAACTGAACCACTGCGCCACCACACCCCATAAACACTTTTGACTGGATCATTTTGGTTGACTGAATTTAAACTGATGAGGGAAGTGAAATGATTATAGATGAGAAATATGAATATCAGCTGAAAGGAAACGCTAATAGAAGGCTGCTGAATAACGCATCAGCTGCTATGGGATTACCCCAGTATGAGGAAAAACAGATGACAGTATGAGGAAAAAGAAAAAAAAAACATTACTGTGACATAATACATATGCTCCAGGAGATCTATAAAAAAAAAGACATTTAGATTATGTGATTGGTTGTAAGCAATATAATCACGGTAACCCAGAGGGTGCTGAAATTAATCACATCATTAATCATCCCTGATTTCATTGTTCGGAGGGATTACATCATAGGGTGCAATCAGATGTAGATTAGCTTTTGAAGGAACCTTCCTGACACTGATTATATATGACACAAGGAGGGACACATACTTGAGCGTCTGGCATGGAGTGGGTTCTGAACCAAATCTGCAACATAAGCACACACATCAAATATTAAAATATAGCCATGCATTAAAAAAAAAACGAGGTATTGTGCTGCCTCGTGGATTTCATACACTCATGAACTAGTACACTCATAAAAGCTTCTTTGACTATTAACACAAGGGAGATCCTTTTGGTGCTACACAGCAGTGATTTTAAAGATTAGGTTTGGACCCCTGGGCTATGTGAGGACTAAAATGGATTGAGAAATATTCTGAGAAATACTGGTATCCAGATCCACTGACTGTCATACTGCCCAAAGCAGCAAGACTTGGCGGTGTAAAAACAGGGCACAGGTGTGCACCTTTTGGGGCCGGCTTTAAAGCAAGAACGCCAGACAGAGCATAATTTATTACAAGTTGTAAAAAAAAACAAAAAACACACAAACAAACAAATAAACTTTTTAAATGCAAACATGACACACGTCTGAATTAGGGCTGTGGCTATAACCGCAAAATTGAAATACCGCGCTATTGGTCAAGCACCGTAACAGCCACAATGTTCATACTTTACACTTCAGGGCGTGTTAAATTAATAAATTAGTGCTTCAAAAGTTCCAAAACCATAATAGCTCTGTAACGGTTCAAGGACGGACCGCCATGGGCTGTACGTGAGCTGACTGCAAACTTGGAAGCTGTTAAGTGTAGCCGTGTTTTGTATTGTTCTAATGTTTATTTTAAAGGCTAGCTAACTTGGCATTAGCATATGACGCGGCTAATGTGGCTAGCAGGCTTGGCGATGTTGGACTAACATATTCCTGTGGCACAGTCCAGAGAAACTGTGAACGGTAAGCCTCATTTGAAGCTCACAAACGAGCGTAGTGTGTCGGTTGTTGCTTTCTGTGGAAATTTAGTTATAACGTTACTACAGCGAAGTGGTTAGGTGTGGACAGCCCATTCTGCACCGCACCGGTGTGTGTGTCCGTTGCTGCAGTATGTAAACTGACTTGATAGACATGCCCTGAAGGTGTGAAAAAGTCGGTCAAACTACAAAAATTTGTTTGCTTGGCAATGTTGTTGACTAGCACCCAGCAGCTAGCTTGCTCCGACTATAAAGCTGCTGTTAGCATCTCGCTATGCAGTGAGGTGAGATCCACAGACACTCGTACTACTGCGGGGGAAATTACTTCACCGCAACAGCCCTAGTCTGAATGTGTTTCAGATGAGACAAAGCTTTGTTGGATGTTTTTAGCAAGATTAATGACAAATGAGGACAAAATATCTTATTTCGACTCTTCTCTCTTATTTCAGATCGGTTCCTGCAGTCGTTATAAATATCCAGAAAATATCAGCTTGTAAATTGGCCCTACATAAAACACTCTTGTCAGAAGGTCTGTATCTTTTAAAGAGGTGTGTTTGTATTTTATCTGCCTATTCAATCTTGGCCTGACAAATTGAAGGCCTTTATGATGGCAGTAAAGCTGCCCTCTGTACCCGTTACATAGACACACACATGGTGTCAGAGACACAGATAAGGCTTTCTCACTGTGGATAGACTGATTCCACAGCAACAAGGCTGGCAGACACAAGGTTATAACTTCGCTCTCTCTCACACACACACACTTTTACACACAGTAGACCCACAATTTCTCATAGTTTATATTCTCCCTCCAGCTCTATGGTTCTGCCTCCAACCTCTTCTACTACCCTTTTCTGTCTTTACTTCCTAGCCGTTCTCTCTCTCCTTTCCACTCTGCTCTGTACCTTTTCTTGCTGGCAGTGTTGTCATGGTGATGGGAAGAACCAGACAGGCACTTCAACTTTTAACAACACATGAGGTTGTACTGACTTCCACTTGTTTTTTTGGCAGATCTCACTCTCTCTCGTCTCCAGGTATCCTCTTCTTTCACATCTGCTTGACTTTTTCTTCTTCCTCAACCTTCTCGTCCCTTTCTCTGCATCTGACTTGCTTTCGTCTTTGCCTCTTTCTTTCAGGCTCATCTTTCCTGTATTTATTGACTGGCGTGACTCAAGGCCTGTTTTCGAATATCACTTTTGAAAAATCTTTTTTTTTTTATTCTAAAAGCTTTGGCTGTATATTTAACATATTTAACAAACATTGGAACACATGTTGTGAGCAAATTGAAATTGAAAACCCCTAAGCATTAAAATGTATAAGCAGTTGGAGATTTCAATGAATGACAAAAAGAGATTTTAAAAGTGCAGAATTATAATATGTATTTCCTCTCTATTACATTAAACTCAGGCTCTGCCTTTTTCAGTATGATGCTAATTCATATACAGCCAGACTACACCTCTTAGCCCATATGCTGCAAACCAAGCCAATTAGAATATTCTGGTTAAACCTGTAGTAGAAATGACATTAGTCCAGGATATGCAGCCTTCTGTAAAACAGCTATAGCATGCCAGGTTGTCTTTTCATTGCGCTCTTAAATTTTTCAGCCATGCTAGCGGCAAGGATCTGGGCATGGAAATGTTGGTGGTCTACCACTTTGGTCCAGACTGAAATATCTCAATTAGAGCTGTAACTGATGATACTTTTCCTTACCGTTTAATCTGCTGATTACTTCCTTGAAAGACCAGTTTGTTGTTTGGTCTATAATAGAGATGCTCCGATCAATGGTTTTCAGCTTAATCGCCAATGACCAGTGATCGGGGCCCATCAGCGTCGAATGCTATTTCCTGCTGGTTGTCATTTAACACAACATGCAGCGGGACAGACAGTAACCAGCTATTGTCAAAGCCACACACATGCTAAAACATGTCATAGGCGTAGATGTTCTTCACCGCAAGTGAAGACGTAACGCTATACACGTGCAGAGAGACACACAGAAAGAGACGCTATCTTGTATGATGATAGAAGATGCGGACACAGTGGATATTTTACAAGCACAGAGCAGGTAAAACAACTGCGAACGCAATTGTTGGTTCTGTCATTCAGTACAAAAGTGGTTGGAAATTCACACGGTTCCTCCACACCTGCTTCTGTGAAAAAAAATTAAAATGTGACTTGTCTTCATAAAAATGCTGACAAATAAAGTGAACAGAGCAGACAGATACAGGGAGAGAGAGACAGAATTGTAGGTGTCTCTGAAGGGAAACGCAGGACGGTTGAAATTTTGTTTTATCAGTTCATTAGTTTTTTTTAAAGAAAAAGTAACTTATCTTCTAGTTCCATCATGTCAAAATTTCACTCTGTCCAATTTAATGGCTTATGACCAAATGCCTGCTAAACTAATGACATTCTCATCAGTCTTAGCTGTACTTTCTCTTAAGTGCTAATTAGCCAGTGTTAGCTTGCTAACACGCTAAACTAAGATTGTTAACACTGTAAACCTACCTGCTAAAAGTCACTCATTGAGTCGTTGTGCATATGTTAGCTTGCTGATGTTAGCACTTAGCTCAAAGCACACCACCCTGTACCAAGTGATGCTAGCATGTCTTGGTTAGATTTTAAATTGTGTTGAAATAAGCTGATTTATCAATTAGTTACTAATCTTGCAGCCCAAATTCTATTACATTATAATTATGACATGGCATGCTCTTTTACCATAGTTCACTATGTCTAAATGTTAAATCATCATTGTGAGGATGTTAGCATGCTGATGTTAGCATTCAGCTCAAGGCACCAGAGCTGCTAGCTTGCTAGTAGACTTGTTATTTTCTCCTTCGACTTTGTTCCTCTTTCGCACATTTGCTTCCTCTGTCTTCGTTTCAAATGTGTGCAGGTTTTGTGTCACTCAGACGGGCAGAAAGGTTGAAAGGGTGTTGGTGTGCAGATGATGTGTTTGGGATTATGACTGTCCTGTCAGCAAGCTGCGACTCTGTACAACGTCAAGCGGCAACTGCTGTGTGTCTCTTTTGGTTTTATTTCATTCCCAACATCACCGCTCTGCTCTGCTTCACTTGGCTCTGCTCTCCTCTCCTGGGCACTGCTCTGCTGTGATTTATTTTGTGCCATTTAAGAACCTTTTAACACGATTACTTGAAATTCTCTTACACACTTATTTATCTTATTCTTTAGCAGCCCCTTCCTTCAGATAACTAATAGAGTCTACTTCCTGGTTGGATCAGAGCTGACATTCTGCTTATGTGTCTGCCAAAGTTACCTCATACTTTCCATGATGGAGGGAGCACTTCATAATGTTCAGTTCAAGCTGAGGATAGCTTCTGTGTTGATGCTCCCCATACACAAGCAGTTTCCATCTACATGCAGTATCAAAAGGACCCGCTATGTTTACACCCAGCCTAATAATCTGCTGCTATGGCTAATTTCTCCTGACTCCAAGGGAACTGATATCTTGAAAGCTCTAGTAAGGATTTAGGCAGAAAATGTATGCAGTATATCTGGTAAGGAGACGAGGATAAAGCATGAGAATAAAATGGGAGGAGGAGGAGGAGAAGAAGAAGCTGGGGAAAAGGGGGACAAAGAGGAGGAGGAAGACTACAGTACAGTATGTGATATAAGGAAGAGGAGGGCGAATTTGCGCAACATGAATACCAACTTAGTGGAGGTTAAAAACAGAAAACTGAGAAGGAACATGAAAAGGAAAAAATAAGGGAGAGGGTGCATTTGAGGACAGAGGGGGAGGGTTGAAAACGAGAAGAAATGAGGAAGAACAGATCTTGAAAAAGAAGTCAAAGACGAGGACGGTGGGGGTACAGAAGCTGTGCAGCTGGGGGGTAAAGAGTACTGATGGTGGAGCGGTTTCCTGAGGAAATACCAGAGACTCTCTCAGACATGAGATACTATACTAACTGCAGCCAGGTTCAACACATTTATATTCAAACTGTATTCTACACTTACTAAGAATATGCCGTTTATGGATGATTATGAATTACACTGCCATAGAAACCAATATCATGTATATCAGGAAAACATGTATACATCACCAAACTGGAGAATGGCTGATAGACCTAAAGTACTCGCTGTCCTCATCAAATGACCTTTGAGCAAGGCACTAAAGCCATGACAGCACTGAACTCTATTAATGTCTAACTATTTTCTATTTTACAGAAATAAAA